ACACGCCCGTAGCCCCAGTGACTGGGAAGTCAGGCTGAGACAGGAGGATGGCGAGTTCCAGGTCAGCCTGGGCAACTTAGCAAGACACTGTCTCAATATTCAAAGTAGAAGGGTCTGGGGAGGTGGCTCAGGGGTGGAGCTCTTTCCCAGCAGGCGTGAGGCCTGGTCCAGTCCCTCCCACTACCCACCGAACACAGGACCACCCAAACGGAAAACCAGCCCGTGACTAAACAGAAGTCACCTGTGCCAGGTGCTCCTGACCCTGGCCCACAACCTACGCATTTGGCCCCCTTCCCAAGCTGTCCAGAGGCGCCCGCAGGCTTTGCCGTGGACACACAGCTCCCTCCCTCCTGGGCCCAGCCTGGCCCCTCCCTGAGCCAGGCACCACGGGCCCCTCTGGGTCTGGCCTTCACTGTGCCCCTCTCCCTGGCAGCAGGCACTCGGCCCTGGCTTCAGAAGAGGAGCTCCTGCTGCTGGCTCAAGATGGACAGCGAGGGACGCTGCCCGCCCAGGGCCCATCTGCGCTCGTGAAGAACTGCTTTCTTCCCCTACGAGAATATTTCAAGTATTTCTCTCAGAACGCACTTCCTCTTTATAAATGAGCCATTGCACAATGACACAGGGCTCTCCTGGAACTTCCCCCTTCTACCTGTGTTCTCCAATCACTCTCACTTGCTTGGCTCTGGGTGTCCTGTGATGCTGCAGACCCACCTCCTGTTTGGTTCGAGTCGCAGGCTCTCCTGGGCTCCGTTCTGGGTCTGGGGAGAGGAGCAAGGTGCCCTGTGTGGTGGACGGGATCCCGATGTGACAGGGCACCCGAGAGCACACCTGTGTCCCCACTGAGAAGTTCAATAGATGTGTCGCTGGAGGACTGCTGGTCATATTTTGGTGTTCTGTGTGTAAGCAAAGCCCCCAGGTACCAGGTGCCCACCCTGTGCACCCCGTAGATGGGATTTTCGTTGATTTGATGGTTGAAATCACCCACCTATCAGGCTGCCCCGAACGCCCCAGTATAGAACATTCCCACTTGGTAGAAAAGCCAGAGCCAGCGGAGCCAAGGGTGCCCGGGCCCACCCAGATCTACCTGCAAAGTCTGTGACCTTTGGGCTCCTAACCCAGATGGCGTGGCTTGCTGAAGCAGGATTCCCCAGCCCCACACGAGTGAGGAATCTCACAGGACTGTTTCCCAGGTAGCTAGAACCATCCCATCCCCTGAGTCCAGACACAGCAACCAACCAGAGTCAGATTGTCCTGGGCACCACAACTGGGGCCTGGGGACGCTTTCCGTGGTCTGTACAATGCTTTGAGGAAGAAAGGGGGGTTCAAACTGGACCTGTTGAAGATCCTTGGAAACACCTTGAAGTAGAGTGAGGTCACCCTTGGATCAGTGTAACAGGGCACTTTCTCCGTCCAGGAGGACAGCCCTGCACATGGACAACCCTGGTATCGTGTCCAGGGCTGACTCTGGAGGGCTGTGATGGAACCAGGCTAGAGGGCCAGAGACACCCAGGAGAGCAGAGCTGGGCTCAGCCAGGGGCAGACAGACCCCTCCTGGTAGCCCACACTGACCCCGAAAGCTGGCTGAGCCGTGCACACGAACCTGTGACCACAGCTGCCCAGTGGGGGATGACAGCACTGCGCAGGGCTGGTAGCGGCCAGGCTGCGTCCACCCAGGTAACTGGTGGCACGGGCAGAGAGAAAACCAGGGCCTGCTCTCCACCTGCTTGAGAGCAAGGGGGAGAGCCAGGCTTCAGGTCTCCAGACACGCTCCGCGACCTCTCGGCACTCTCAAACGTGCACACAGAATCGTCCCCACCTGGAGATCCTCCTGAGTGCTCTAACCCTCCCCCAAGGCCCCATTCATGATCCCTGGAGTCGGCTGTAAATCAACCCCCAAAAGATGCCCATGACCGACTCCCGGGGCTGTGGGTGTTACCTCCCACGGTAGAGAAGGACCCCACTGCCTGAGTCGACATGCCGCCTGGGTTACCCAGGTGGGCCCATTTGCCATCAGAGTGGGGCAGAGGCGGTCTTGGCCACATGCAGAGGGGACGGCCATTGACCAGAGAGGCAGAGAGGCTCCAGAGCTGCAGCTCAGCTAAGGGGCACCCCAGGGGGTGGAGGCAGGGAGGCGTCTCCCTTCAGCCTCCAGGTGAAGCAGTGACCTCCGACTTTGGCCTCCAGGACTGTGGGAAAACGATGCCCCTGCGGTTTTTAAGCCCCCAAGCCTGCGGTGACTCCTTGCAGCAGTCTCAGGAAATGAGCAGATCCCCAAGAGAAAAGATGGGCTTCCGAGTGTCACCTGGGATGTCAGAGGCACACTGTGCTGTGACTCTCAGGGCACTGTGCTTCCCGTGTGGGGGAAAGACCTGACATTAGGTTGCGGCAGGCCCCCCATCAGTGGGACTTGGGGCCCAGAGCCCTACTGCTCCTGGGTGCAGCTGGGGTTCAGGGGGCAGGCTGGGGCATCCAGACGATCCCATACCTTGCCCCGGAACCTCGGATTCAGGCTGCAGGACTGCATTTCCTCTGGTTCCCACCCCAGCACCAAGCTTCCCTGCCCGCCTGCAGTCCTGGTCAAGGGAGCTATGTCCCCTTCATCTCAGAGTCCTGTTTGGAACCCTTTGCCTATAGAGTATGCATTAATTTAGGACAGTCGCACAAGTGTACTCGCAGGCATGACCTGGTCACTGAGCCACAAGGGTGTGATTATCTGCACTTCCCAGATGGGAAACACAGGCACAGAGGGGCTGACTAACTCGCCTGGTGATGCACAGTTCCAAGGCTGGGATTTCAACCCACCGTGAGCTTACCATCTCTGGTCTTGGTTCTCCTCCCCCACAGCTGCCCGGGTGCTGCCCAACGGTGCCCCCTGTAGTCCAGCTGCATTCCGTGTCACTTCCCTACTGTGCCCAAGGAACAATAGGCCCCTCCATCCAGAGTCTCTGCTGTTTAGTGGGTCCAGCAGCAGTAAGTGGTTTCTGAGACCTCTGTGAGCCCTGGCCCCTACCCCTTTGCCAGCCATGCTTGTGCCACCCGAGCATCTTCTACCACTGCCCCACTGCCGTCAGGCAGCACAGTGCCCAGGCCTGGCTTGGAGAGCTGCAGGGTGGAGGGGGATCTGGGTAGTGCTAGAAGGGGCGTTGCCCCAACCCAGGCATCAGCCAATCAGTACAGTGCAGGCCCCTGGGCCTCAGTGATAGGCCCAGAGGTGGGCACCCAGCCCAGGCCTGCCCAATCAGAGACAGCCCTGTGTGGGCCTCAGGGACTCACCTAACCAAGGGGAGGGGAGTGGCAGCAGTCTGGCCTGGGAGGAGAAGGCATGGGTGGTGCCAGCTGCCCAGCCCGACTGACCGCTCTGCTCACCTGGCCAGTGATGCTGGGCTGGTTCTCCCCAAACTCAGTCTTCTGCCAGCTGGAGCCAAGCTGGGGCGGGGAGGGGACTGAGGCCACCAACACCATGTACCTCTCTATGCTGGGTGTGTGAACCGTGTGCCCCTGAAGAGGCCCTGGCCACATGTGTTCCAGCCCATGCTGGTTCCTGGCTCCTGGAGCTGGGCCCATCCGAGGCACACGATCTGGGTTATGCGGGCACCCTGCTGTCCAGGGACAACATTCACCTTTCCTTCAGGACACTTCCCTGGCTCCCCATCCCCACCCCAAGAGCAGACCCCCTCATTGGACCCTGGAACATGGGCAGGGGTCCTCTAGTCCCTGAGCTTCCTGACAGAAAGGGAAGATGGCCCCTCCCTGAAGAAGTGCCTCAATGCCCACTCTGCTCCCGACCCGGGGACTTGGGGGCCACATGCTCACTATCCCTGCTCTTTTCCTTGGGAACTTCCGTCACCACCTGGCACTCACCTTTTGGGTGTCTTCACTTGGTTGTCCCACAGCTGCATGGGGACGTCCGGTCCAGCTGGCAGAGACTAGAGCCTTCTTTACCGCGTGCTCTCTGCGAACTCGCCAGTGCTGGGTGCTCATGGGGTCTTCATTGAATGAATGAAATCTGCATGGGGACTGGGCTCCGGGAGCTCCCCTTGCACAATGGCCCAGGGACAGGCTCCCAGCTTTCTGCCTTCACAAAGGCTGCCCCTGCTCCACCATCAGCCTGGGCAGCAGGCCTGGGGTGGGGCAGAACTGCATAGAGAGGCTACAGCCCTCGGCTGCTCCCAGGAGATCAGGACCTCCAGACCTGCCACCTACAGGGAGGGAACCCTGTCCCCTCCTGGCCCACCTCCTCACCAGTCTGGCACTACCTCTGTACCCAGCCTGGGGAAGGAGGAGGGAGCACAGAGTCAGCAGAGAGGAGGGCCCAGTACTGTGTGTTGGGGGGAGCAAGTGGGCTCCACCGCAGCCCAGAGCTCAGCAGTCTCCCGCAGACCAGGTGCCAGACAACACTGGCCAGCACAGGAGTGCAAGGTCTACCCAGGTCCAGGCAGTGGGCTTCTCAGAGCCTCTCCTATGCAAAGATGCTGTGCCAGGGGGCCCATCAGACCCCACAAAGGTTAGGGGAACAAACTGGGTGTGCAGGGGGTGTCAGTTCAGGCCTGCCCTCCCTGCCTTTGGTCCAGTCCTAAACAGTCATCGGGTGTGGTTCACCTACTGTCCACCTGGAGAAGCCTACTTTGGGCCCCTGGCTCAGATCTGGGGCTTCTCATAACTCACCCTCAGGGAAGGCAGGGCTAGAACCCTGGGCCAGGGTGGGGACCAGTCTGGGCAGCGGTGGGGAAGTGTCCTAGGGCCCAACCGCCACATCTCTGGGCGCTCTGTCCCAGCTACCCTCCCGGGACTTTCCCGGGCACCTACAGCCCTGGCCCAGTGTCCCCGTGACCTGGAGGACCTGGCCCTGTCCAGCACTGGGCAGATTGGAACGCGGGCCTGGGTAGAGACTAACTTTGTGGAGCCAAAGGGCGACCTTCCTCTCCGCCGCGCCCCGCCTCCTCCCGGGGGCGGTCACGGTCCGGGAGGGCCGGGCCGGGGGCGGGGACCAGGGCTGCACCCAGGCGGCCGCGCGCTGGCGCTCAGAGGCTCCGCGGCGCCCTGGGAACTGGGAACGCAGTTAGAGCCGGTCTCCGCGGCCCCAGGTCTCCGCGGCCCCACGTCTCGGCGCCCGAGGTCTCGGCGCCCCAGGTCTCGGTGCCCACCATGCTGCTGAGGTGAGCCCCCCTACGGCCGCGCCTGCGGTGCGGGGAAGGGAGCGCGGGCAGGGCGCGGTGTCCCCGCTCGAAGTGGGGCCGACAGCGCCCCGAAGGCAGCGGTCCCGTGCGTCCCCAGCTCCGGGCGGCTCCCACGGGGCTCGCGGGCTCACCTGCAGGCCCAGGAGGGAAGCGCGGGTGCCTGCGGTGTGGACGGCAGGGGGCGGCTTGGGCCGGCGGCGGGCACGGGCGCGCGGGCGGGGCGTGGGCGAGCCAGGCGGCCGTGCGGAGGCAGGGACCGAGTAGGCTGCGCGCAGAGCGGGAGGCGCACCCCGGCGGGGCACCGCAGGCCGCCCTTCTCCGCTGCTTCGCTGATTTCCCAGAAGGAGGGAGGATGTGACACCCTGTGACACCTCGGAGGCCAGCAAGTGCCCACTGTTTAGTGACACGGCCTCTCCCCACACACCTGGGATCCCCCCTCCGCATTAACAGTTCCAAACCAGGGAAGGGGGTGCTGCGGGCCGCGCAGCAGGGGGCGGTGGGAGCCGGGACGGCAGCAGCTTCGCACGGCCTTCCGCGGTTTCTTGTGGTTCCCCAGCAAGGCGGCTGCGGAGGCAGAAGCCTGGACCTGGCCGCGGCTCCCAAGCCTTCTTTACTCGCTGTCATGGTGGTCTGGGGGATCTGGGCTGGAAGCCCTGAGGTCTTGCTCTGCGGGGCAGGGAGGTGTGGTCCAGGCCCCTCTCCCTGAGCTCCCGGTGCAGGGAAGCCCAGACCTCTCCAGACGGTGAATTCACATTTCTGTGCCGGAGCCAGGGCCTCCCGTGGGCGGACCCCTGCTCCTGGGAAGGAGAAGCGGAGACCTGCAGCTCACCTGCCTTCCCCCGTTTCTGTTCCAGTCCTGGCCTGCTGTTGCTCCTCCTCAGTGGCCTGCAAGCTGGTGAGTCAGTGCTTAATGCAGGGTGCTCTACCCAGCCAAGCCTTACCCAGCCTCCAGACCTCATGCAGAGCTGTGAGAGCCTCACACCCAGGGCCTGGGGAGGTCCTCATCACCTCCTGCCAGGGTCCTCTGGGCCTCACACCTAGGCTGGTGCAGGACAGAAGGCCGCAGAGGACACTGCCTTTCCAAAGGCCATAGTTCTTTGATTTCATGCTCAGGGTAGGTAGATGCAGTTCCTTTGAGTCAGGGGCTTCTTGTCCCCCAGTCTCTCTGTCCCAGTCAGCCTTTCTGAGGTTTGAAAAGAGCCAGAAGCAATGATGTGGCCCTGAAGCAGAGGGCCGAGGCCCACCAAGCCTTCCAGTCTGAGCCAGGCAGTTAAGTGATTGGGCAAATGGTAGCGCCTCTGTATGTCGCGTGAACTTTTGTCATGAGCACAATGACTTTATAATGTCGAGAAATGGTTCTCTTTTGCATGCCAGATTTTAGAAATAGTGCAGAGCAGCCCAGGCACCCTCCTGGCTTCCCCCAGTGGTGGCTTTGCATGCCAGCTGTGCCCTGTCAGAGCCAGGTCTTGGCCTTGGACAACAGAGCCAGGTGGCTCACCACCGAGCATCCGAGCTGCCATCTGGGCCCCTGGCCCTCCTGGGTGGAGCTGATCAACACATTCCTTTTCTGCTTGAATGTGTCAGGATCAGTGTCTGAGCCTTGTAACCCAGAAGTCTGGGTGACTCCATGGGCTGGGAGTCACCCTCAGAATATCCATCTCATCTTTGGACTCTTGCAGTTATTGAAGCAGAGGAAATCAGGGCCCTGGTGGGCAGTGACGTCAAACTCAGCTGCGTCTACCCGGGAACAGGTCGCTTCGACCTAGATGACCTGTTTGTCTACTGGCAAGTCAGCGAGTCAAACGCAGTGGTGACCTACTACCTCCCCGAGAACAGCTCCACAGGCCTCGAGGACAGCCACTACAAGAACAGGGCACACCTGTCACTGGACAGCATGCAGCAGGGGGACTTCTCCCTGCACCTGCGCAATGTCACCCCCCGGGACGAGCAGAAGTTCAAGTGCCTGGTGTTTAGGAAATCCTTAGAGCTGGGAAGGATCTTGGAAGCCGTGGTCACACTGCACGTGGCAGGTGAGGCTGTCAAGCAGAGCGCAGGTCTCACCCACCTCGTCCTGGAGAAGGCTCCCAGAACCCAGCCGGGGCCCAGCAGCCTGCTCCCTTCAGGGAAGAAAGTCCTGTCTTGGTTACTGGGTTTCTCCCACCTGTGAGGCAGTGGGTGAAAACCTGGTCAGTTTTAGGACTTCAACCTGAGACCCCCTGGTTTCACAGAACCCCCAGCCTTGCCAGCTGCCTGGAACTCTTCAGCTCGAGCTAGATTTTTCAAAATGAATTAGAAGACAGTGCTATAAAACACAAAATGAGATGAGAATTTCAGGATTTTGGGGGTTGAACGCAGGGGTGCTTAACCCCTGGCCACAACCCTGAACTCTCTATATATGTATATAAAATTTAGAGACAGTCTCACTGAGTTGCTTTGGGCCTCACTAAGTTGCTGAGGCTGGTTTTGAACTCGTGACCCTCCTGTCTCAGCCTCCCAAACTGCAGGTATTATGGACATGTGCCACTACGTCCAGCAGAATTCAAGGAAATTTTAAAGATAACCACGGTCAGGGCACCGTCCAGCAAGGAGATGGCAGTGTCACTTGTGAGGAACACTAGATCCAATGAGGGGTCTGAACTGGCCCTAGGTACAGGACACGGCCTGCTAGGCTCAGTGGCTCCCCAGTTGGGTGTCCACGCAGGCCTGTGCTGGCAGCTCAGACCACAGCCCTGATCTGGCCGCTCTACCAGGGTGGGCCACAGGGGCCACCTTCCCCGGCCCTGGCCCTTGGCACCTGCACCCTCCGCATCTTGAGGTGCAGAAGCTGGCCTCCCTCACCCCCTTCCCTCCCCTGCAGCCAACTACAGCATGCCGGTGGTCAGCACGCCCAGCCGCCCCTCTGCAGAGCAGGAGCTCACCTTCACCTGCGTGTCTACAGACGGCTACCCGAGGCCCAGCGTGTACTGGATCAACAAGACGGACAACAGCCAGCTGGACAAGGCCCTGCATAACGACACGGTCTCCCTGAACCAGCGGGGCTTGTACGATGTGGTCAGCGTCCTGAGGATCCCTTGGGCGCCCAGCGTGAACGTCGGCTGCTGCATAGAGAATGCGCTTCTGCACCAGAACCTCACGGGGGGGACAGGTGAGGCCCGGGCGGGGGGTGGTGGGGACTGGAGCAGGCCCTACAGGGACCGTGCAGTGGCGTCAGGAAGGTGGCTGAGAGGAAGGAAGGTGAGGGCGGGTGGTGGTGACCGGGAAACCCACGGTTTCAGAGCCGAGGACGCTGCCCCGTCCTCCCCAGCTTCAGCTTCACCTGCAGAGCTGTGTGGCCAGCGGGACTGAGGCTCCGAAAGGACTGTGTGACACTTCAGAAGCCACGAAACTAGGCAGCAGCTGGCCAGGGTGGAGCCACCCTGTGCAGCCCCAAGCGCTCTGCCCCGGGCACAGGCCCCCGAGGCCCCTGAGAAGAAGGAGCCCCCACATGGGGAATGGGGCTGGGCCTCGCTGCTGCCGGGTCCTCCTGAGCTTGGGGTGCAGGCTCTCCCAGTCTGTGTCCCTGTCACCACTGTCAGATGGGACACAGAGGAGGAGGTGGGAGATGCTGCAGCCTAGACTCTGTGGGCCCTGCCCGCTGCAGGAAAGGGGTGCCACCCACAGGATCTGCTACGCGTAACCTGCAGGAGCAGTGAAAGTGGAAACGCAGGTGAATGTCAGAGCAGTGCAGGCCGCTGAGGGGGCCTGGGCTGCCCAGGCCCAGGCTGGTGGAGCGGCCCTGACCACCAGCACCCAGCAGGCTTCTCCCTCCTCCCTCAGTGTCCGGCTGCAGCCCCTCGACTCATGCGCACGGTCTGGGCCCCCGGAGCAGGAAGAGGGCAGCACCAGGAGCTTCTGGCCACTGCCCCCTGCCAGGCAGCCCGGGCAGGAGGAGCCCAGGGTTCTCGCCAGCTCAGTTTCAGCTGCACAGTGGGTCACTGGAGCCCAGCCCGGACCCTGGCATCTGGCAGCAGGACAGTGGTTTTTTGATTTGTTTATAGTCCTGAGCGTTGAACCCAGGGGTACTTTGCCACCCAGCCCCATCCCCAGCCCTCTTTTGTGTTTTATTTAGAGACAGGATCTCACTGTGTTGCTGAGGGACTCGGTAAGTTGCTAAGACTGGCTTTGAACTCGCGATCTTCCTGCCTCAGCCTCCTGAGCTGCTGGGACTATAGACTGTATTTTTCCATGTGAGACAGGGTGTGGCCCAGGCTGGCTTCAAACTTGCCACCCTCCTGCTCAGCCTCTCTAGTCTCTAGGATTGTAGGAGTGTGCCACCCACTAAGACAGTGTTACAAAGCTTCTAGGTGACCTGAGTCACACTGGCATCTGTACCCAGTGCCCCTGGATGGCATGGCTGACTTCCCTGTGAGGTCCACCCTCTGACGGGCCAGGACGCGGGCAGGGCCTCTGCTGACGAAGGCAGACTGCTGGCCAGCGGCTCCATTTCCTATCTGCCCAGGACAGGGACTCAGGCAAGTGCCTGTGGACGCCCAGCATGTTCACAACAGCCACAGGGCCCCAAGCACCCGCCACAGATGGCTGGCTGGACACTGTGGCCATCACATGACGGAGTGTCCCTTAGCTGTCAAAAGGATGAGGTGCTGACACAGGCTGCATGTGGTGAACCCCAAGGACATCGTGCCCCAGTGGCCAAAGCTGGTCCACAGAGGCCACACGTGGTACGGTCCATAACAGAAAGGACCCAGAGCAGGCCGTGCTCCGTCAGGGGAGTGGAGGGGCCAGGGGTGGGGCACAGGGGAAAGCAGGAGGGGCTGCCCGTGGGTACCAGGTTTCCTGGGAAGGCTGCTGCCCATGCCGTGAGCACTCGACACACTGACCCGCCCACTGTGCAAGGGTCCATGGAACGTGAATTTCACCTCCATTTAAGAAGCCCCTCCAGGGCCCTGGGTCAGGGCTGGGCCTGCCGGAGAGCCCCACTGTAAGGAACAGCTGACCGCCAGTGCCGGTCCTTGGGAGCATCCCCTGCCGGGCTCACTCTTAGGGTCTCCTCTGGGACCCCCAGCCACGGCTGTTTCTGTCCCCCTCACAGAAACCTTCGTGGGACCTGAAGCCATGGTGACAGACAGCCCAGCGCGTCCCCACCAGGCGGGGAGTGCGGCCGTCCTCAGCACCCTGGCCGTCCTGCTGGCGATGGTGATCGTGGCTGTGGCCACAGGCTGCCTGTGCAGAACCAGGTGTCCCCGTCGCAGCTACACAGGTGCGCACCAGGCCCAGCTGTCCACTTCCAGAATTCGGAAATGTGGGTTTCTTTAAAAGCATTACCCAGCCCCCCGGGAGGTGGGTGAGAGGCCGGCCATCTCTCAGGGCCGTGTTCCTGATAGGGCCAACCCCAGGGGCAGCCGGGAAGCCGCCCCCTCCCAGCTGCATGGGGAATGACGGGTTCCAAGTTAGAGACTGCCATGGGGTTGATTTCTGGGAAGGCTGACCGTGGCCACCAAGTCACTGGCCAGGCTGGCTGTCTGGGTCCTGTGCTGCGGGAGGAGAGATCCCCAGGGTGAGATGGAGTCGCAGAAGCTGCAGGCCACAGTACTGCCCCGATGGCCACATAGAGGCCCTGCCTGCTCGCCCAGGAGGGCAGAGGAAGGGGAGACGGTTAGTGGAGCCCAGTATGGGCCCCATGGAAGAGCCTCCTGGCAGCTGCTTGCAGGGGTTCCTGGTGTGTGGTCACCCAAAACACTTTCCATGCCCACAGTCCCCCTGCTGGCCCAGACAGGCTGTCACAGGGCCCCTGAGCCAGGACACACACGGGCCCTGAAAGAGCCTCTTCCCTGAAAAGCAGGAGGCCCGGGAGCCCCTCACCTGGGAGTCCACTCCCTGCCCAGGGCAAGACCTGGGCAATGTCTGGGCAGAGGGTGGGGCTGCTGTGCGCTTGGGCCGCGGGGGTCTTTAGAGTGCCCGCCCGACCTCCACGCCACCTGGGTCTCTGACTCGTCCCACAGGTGCCAGGTTCGTGCGGTAGGAGGAAGAGCCCACAGGTGAGTTGCCCCCAGAGAACACAGTTCGAGGGGCCGCCAGGCGGGCACGGGGGGCACCTTCACGCACTCAGAACCTCAGTTGTCTGCCCTGGCGCCTGGTGGTCCTGGAAACGCGGGGAGGTCCCAGAGGTGACCTGGCATTTCCTGTTGGCTCCCTCAGCGCCAGGACCACACGTGCCAGAAACTTCCAAACTGCACACAGCAGGGTCCAGCCAGTCACCCGGGTCCTTCCCTACCCCCTGCACTGCCTAGAGTCTGTGTGTCTCTGGCCCCTCCCTAGCTGGGACCGTGGCCTGCAGGCAGCTCTGTGGCCCTGTGGAGCTGGTGGCCCTGGTCTCAGGAGCAGCAGTAGAGGTGGATTCCCGGCTTAGGAAGAGCTCCGTGTCGGGGGCTACAGCCCCAGGCAGGAGCTTGGACCAGGGGCCGGGGCTCTACCTGAGGCGGTGGCTGCATGTCCCCTGACCTGGGTCTCTTACCCGGGGCCCAGGGACCTGAGCTGGGTGAAGGCTGGCTCTGCAGGGAGCCCCGGGCTGTGTCCAGCAACTCCAGGTCACCTTGGAACAGAACTTGCTGGAACTCCAGGGCCACCCGTGGCGTCAGCTGCCTCCTGAAGCAGCCGTCCTGTTTCCAGGGTCTTCCTGGGTCCTGGGGAGCTGGGTCTCTTTGCCTTCGGGATGAGAAGGAAGGCTGGGCCCGGGTTGGCGGCAGGGTGCTTGCCTGGCTGGTGAGAAGTCCTGGGTTCTGTCCCCAGCGCCGCGAGAAACCAGAGGAGGTGCAGCGCCTCACGTCCCTCTCTTCTCTTTCCCTCCAAGACCATGTTTGACAGGAACTCACTGCCCAGGACGGGGACAGGGCTTCTCTGAGGTGCTACTGGGCGGACATCATACACAGCTTGGTGACAAAGGGGACAGTGAGCCACCTGCCCATGTTGTCTGCCAGGACAGGATCCACCTGGCCAGGAGGGGCCCAAGAGGCTGACCCTGGAGAGACGCCTCAGACACTGCCCCCCCAGAGCGAGGTCCTTCCCAACCGGGCAGCCGCACAAGTGCCCAGGAGCCCGCTGAGCCTCTGCGCTTCAGCACCAGGCTCCTCCCAAACCAGGAACCAGGCACGGGCCTCGCGGGGCACAGGGGTTCCTGAGAGCCAAGGAAGGGCGTTGGGTTTGGAAGGAGGAACGCGCACCTGCCCTTCCAGGATGACCTCTGTGACCGCCGGAGCACTGAGGGTGTTTGCAGGAGACCTGACCCAGGGCCTACCAGCTGCCGCCCTGCCGGGAGCTCCTGTGTAGTGTGCGTTGTGTGTGCACACCTGTGTGCGTGCGTACGTGCGGGAAGTGGCCATGCCGGAAGCCCCGGGAGACCCGCTGGACTTCTCTCTCCTCTGGGATCCCTGCGGAAAGAATACTGGATCTGGCCTGTTTTGTCAAAGGCGCCATCGTCCTCCTCAAGAGACACAGAGGTGGTGTGCTCCAGGGCCCACCTGCCCGGACGAGGGGCCTCCTGGACCTGCCGCTACGCTGGGTACAGGGACCTGTCCCTCTCCTCTCCCCACTCAGCACTCAAAACACACGAGCAGCAGATGTGGGCTGCACCCCTGTGACCGTCAGAGTCCTGCAGGGGGGCTGCCCAGTGGAGGCCGAGGTCCCCTGCCAGCCACGAGGTCTGTCACATTCCAGCAGCAATTCCTCAGAGTCCCCCCCGCCTCCCGGAGGACTCCACAGTGTGAGGCCTCCTGTCCAGTGCCAGTTTCTGCAGCCCGACAGGCCACTCCATGACAGGCATCAGCCCTGGCCAAGCCTCCCAGGGCGGCCTCCGTGTGGCTGTCCAGAATGGATACAGCAGGCCGCTGTTGCTGGGGGCACACCTGTGTGTGCGTGTGCACTTCCAGGTGAGCCAGGCGTGGCTTCCCCTGAGACACAGGTCTGGCCCCTGGCTGTGGGCAAATGCCCGCCCTCCTCCTGCCCAGAGCCCCCAACAGCCCCCGTGGCCAGGGCCTGTGTGTCACGTCCACGGTCGCTGGGTGCTAACAGGTGTGTGAGGGGCACACTTCTCACCCAGGCAGAACAAGACCTCACACTTGTGCTCACAGGCCTGTCACAGAGCATGGTGACGGAGCCACCCACACTTCACCAAAGCATCAGGGAGTGGGTGTCCACTGTGAAAGAATGAGGTAGCCGGGTGCGGAGGGACGCCTTGAGCTCCGTGACTCGGAGGCTGAAGCGGGAGGATCCCAAGTTCCAGGCCAGCAGCTCAGTGAGGCCCTCTCTCAGAATGAAATAAAAACGGCTGGGGCGCCGCTCGGGCAGAGCACTGCCCGGTATCGCAAAAAGAGGTGACGGTGTCTTCATCGTGGCAGTCGACTCCGGGCTGGAGCACAGGAGCCGCTGCGGGTGGAAGGGCTCGGGGAGCTGGGCGCAGTGCCCGTGCGTGACCCAGGGCTCTGGGAAAGACGCCTGGGAAGCTGGGCCTCCCTTCAGCCTTGAGCCCTGCTGGCCTGTCCCGAAGGAGACCCGGGCGTCCCTAGAGAGGCTTGAGGGCCAAGGACAGGATGGGGACAGTCAGCAGGGAGCCTGAGTCTGGCTTCGGCGTTCCTGCCTCCTCACCGTGGCCAGCTGGGCCCCGATGGCTGCTCTCGCCCGAGCCTCTGAATTCTGCCTGGGCCCTGGGCTCTGGGCAGAGTGGTCATCGTCTCCCTGCTGCCCGCAGGCCCTGCCACCTGAGCCCTCCCTCTCCTCTCGTCTTCCGAGGGCTGCCCCTGGGTGCCTGGGGATGGCCCAGCACTCTGTGGGAGGCCACTGGCCACCCTTGCCCCTCCCGGCCTCAACATGGCTGTTAGCGCCTCCTCTGGGGTCGCCAGGCTGATCCCGGCGCCCTGACCTCCAGAAACCCCACACCAGGGTGCCAGGTGCCAGCTGTGCCCTCGCCCACAGCGTTGGTCAGCCCAGCTGTCTTGAATCTGGGCAGGGCCGGCCTGTGTCCCTGTCACTGCTCCAAGGGCCTGGCCCCTGCACTGTGGCTCTGCTCCAGGGGACAGTGGGTGGTCACACAGGGGACATTGCTGGCCTCTGAGGAGCAGCAGCTGGGGTGCAGCCCGACTGTCTGACAGCACAGTCCCTGCTCCCCGGGTCTCCTTGCCATGGTGGGCAGGGCAGGCGGGCCCTGCGGCCTCAGGGGCCTGGCGGAGAGGACCTGCCACAGCCAGCGCTGGGGCTGGGGAGGGGGCATGGTTAACAGCCGAGCACAGGCCACGACCTGGGACCTGCCTGGAGCCTGGAGCCTGGGCCCCTGGCATCATGGTGTGGAGCTCAGAAAGAAGCTGGCCCCGGGGCCCTCCACTGCCCTCTACCTTGGAAAGCCCCACCGCTGAGGACGTCCATGGTTCCTGCACCAGCCGCACTGCCCTGCCCGCAGTCGGGGTGCAGAAGCACACAGTAGGGCCAGGGTGGTCCAGCCCAGGGCAAGACGGAGCCAGCCCTGATGGCCCCGAGTGTGCCACCCACCAGTGTCATGGGGCAGGGTCTTGGAGCTGGGTGTGGGCACAGAGGCCGCCCCCCGGGAGGGCAGCCGTGGTTCTATACACTGGCCAGGCCTGGCATCTCAAGAGAGGGCTCTGCCCCTCCTGACTGTGCCCATAGTGGGCTGGGACTCCCGCAGTTGGCTCCCTTGGGATCACTCTGGGCCTGCCTCATCTCCCTCCAGCCGTCCCTCAACAAGAGGGCTGCTAAAGAGGAGGCGGCCGCGCTGCTGGATGAGGGAGTGCTCCTGTCCTGGTACCCGCCCCGGCCACCTCCATCAGCCAGCGATGCCAGGGGCCGAGGGTGGTGGCCTTTTGTGAAACTCTGGTCAGCACTGGGCCAACTCCAAGGGTCAGAAATCCCTGCTGCCCTGCCCCTGGGGTAGACATCCACAGGAGCTCTCAAATCCTGGGGTCCCTGGAGGGCTGTGGAGGAGCCCCTGCTGGCCGCCTCCTGGACAGTCTCCCAGTGGTCTTCATCTGGGGAGTGACGCCTGGGCTCTCGTGAGAAGCTGTGGTGGAGAGTGACCCACGTCCCAGGGCAGGCGGGTCTGTGGTACGAGAAGCTGCTTCTCCAGGTCTTCAGTGTCACGGGCGGGCCAAGTCCTGGGAGGGGGTCCTCCTGCCACCATCCCCCTCGGGAGGGGAAGTGCTCACCTGGGCAGGCCTCCTGCAGGGCCGGCCTCCACCTGAGGACGTGAACCACAGTGCAGAGTGGTGAGGAGATGTCTTTGATCCCAGGGAGGATGGACGTGGCCAGCTGAGGTTCGGAGGAAAGTCGCTGCGGGAGAAGTACAGGCAGCGAGGCCTGCTGGACCAGCACTGGCCACGAAGGCCGCGCAACGTGAGGGGTGTGGTGCTGCTGTGAGCTGCCCGGAAGCCTGTGCGAGACGGGGCAGGACGTCAGGGCGGGACGCCCGGGTTACCCCATAGGACCTGCTGGGTGGGCGCTGCAGGCAGGTGGGGTCCTGGAGAGTCCCTGGGGTGTGCTCTGGGGTTTGTATTTTGTCCCTGGTGGGTAGAGCGCTCTGTCCCCTGTGGCCATGTCCTGAGCTGCTGTCCTCCACCACACCCTCTGCCACAAGGTCAGGCCCAGAGCCGTGGAGTCAGCCGACCATGGAGACCTCTGACTCTGTGAGCCAAGACGAGTCTCCCTCCTCCCAGGGCTCTCCTGGGCCTTTGGGTCACAGTGATGAAGAAGCCAACTAAAACAGATGGCATCCGGGCGCCGTGGCCCACACCTGTGATCCCAGCCGCTCTGGAGGCTGAGGCAGGATGGCGAGTTCAAAGCCAGCCTCAGCAACTTAGTGAGGCAGATTAGTGAGGCCCTGTCTCAGAACTGAGAAGGGCCAGGGGGAGGGACATGGCTCAGGGTACAGTACCCCGAGGTTTACTTCCCAGCATCAATGACCAACCAATCAATCTGTTATGGTTTGATGTGAGGGTCCCTCAAAAGCTCGTGTGTAAACACGTGGGAGGGTCTGGGGGAGATGACTGGGCTGTGGGCCTGACCCCACCAGTGACTGGTCCCTGATGGGATGCGCTGAGTGGTCACTGGAGCAGGGGGTGTGGCTGCAGGAGGAGGGCCCTGGGGGCCACGGGGTATAGATTTGTATCTGGCGAGCGGAGCCTCTCTCTGCTCCTGATCATCATGGGAGCCCCTTCCCTCCACCTCCCTCTGCGGCCACGATGTCCCTCTCATCTTGAGCCCCACGGAATGGAGCCTGCTGTCTGTGGACGGAGACTTCTGAAACCCTGAGCCCCTAAATGGGCCTTTCCTCCTCCACGGCTCTTCTTGTCAGGTCTCCCGGTCACAGCAGCAAAAGCCTGACCAACACCATCCATAGGAAACAGCTGGGGAATACCGCGTGCAGCAGGCTCCCAGCTCTGCCCCCCGCTGGGCTCCAGCCTCAGATCCAGAGGGCCCACCCAGCCCCGTCCAGCCCTGCTCTGCCCGATGCCCCCACCCCCCACCCACGGCCACCCACCCCCACAGCCCCACACCAGCAACAGCAAGGAGCCTTAGGCCACCTGCACCCCGGCCACAGAGGTCAGCAGCCCTGGCCCCAGGAGAGTGATGCAGACTTGATTGCAGACCGCGGAGCCTGGACGCAGAGCCCCTGGTGGACCTCAGAGAAGAGGTCACTCTGGAAATTAGACCAACTAATTAGTCAGAGCAGCATGGACTCAAGGAGGACAGGGCCTTGATCTGACCATCCCTCTACCCTTGTCCGTGAAGTAGGACCGTCAGGACAACGCGGTACCAGGCGCCCTAGGAATCAGGCTCCGGGAGGAGCCCCTGGAGGAGGGCGTGTGTGCAGGGAGAAGCCCCTGGAGGAGGGCGGGTGTGTGGGGAGGAGCCCCTGGAAGAGGGCGGGTGTGCAGGGAGGAGCCCTGGAAGAGGGCGGGTGTGCAGGGAGGAGCCCTGG